AAGTTGAGATAGATAAGGATGCCTATGCCGCATACAAGCAGGCAGTGGATTATGGCGCAGTGATTAATTTCCTAACAGAGGGGAAAGCTACATGGTTTATTGCGGCTGGGGAACACATCCGTTTTGAAAGTAAGTTTGTGAACTCAATTTCGCGCATGTGGTTGTATTTTGTATGCTCTAGATTGATGCCCTCAAAGCACATAAGCACTGTTAGCAAAATTAGGGCAATTTTGATTTATGCGATCCAGCACAAGATGAGGATGAATGTGGGTGAGATAATTTTTCAAGAGATTACCCATTCGGCAAAGCGTAATAAGACTGGTTTTTACTTCCCTCACATGATTATTGAATTGTGTAAGCAAGCTCAAGTGCCTTTAAATGCTGAAGAAGTTTTAATCCCGCAAGGAGTATGTCTTACAATGCAATTTATGCAAAATCTCAGCAGTGGGGGTAGAGTTGAAGTACCCAGGGCCAAAGCCTCTTCATCGACAAAGCTATCCCAAAGAGATCAATTGTCGAAGTTGAATGAAGACATTGAAAAATTGAAAAAGCAACAGAATCGTCAAGAAGCCTGGATGACATGGATGAGTGGGCAAATGAGGGTGCAACATGAGATGCAAAGATTGCAACTTGCTCATGCTGGGATAGCAGCACCAAGGTGTGAATGGTCTGATTTTGTATACCCAGCGGATGAGGAGCAAGGCGATGCTCCTGATGATGATTCTGAGGAGAGTATGGAGGAGTAGATGGAAATTTCAGTTGTGTTTTTGTTTAATATTGTCAGTGTAGTTTGTTTTGTTGTTTTGTTTTGATGTATTTCTTTTTTTGTTACTTTTTGTTCTTTAAGTCTTTGTGAGCTCTTATTACATCGTTATTGATAATGCTCTTTATTTCCATTTTTTTTTTTTTGCATAACAATGATGGCCGACAAGGTCTGTTTAGTGTTTTTTTTTTTTTTTAGAACGAATTTGGCGATTATGAACTGGACAGCCTTATTACATTGAGGAATGTGGTTACATTCTCTTTCTCTTGTTTCTATTCTTAACATTGAGGACACTGTTGACTTTTTGGTTGGGGGTAGCAATTTAAGGAATTTAAATTGAGCAGAAATTTAAATTGGATTTAGAGAGCAGTTTTGTTTGTTCTTTTGTTTTATGTTATGAGTTTAATTTTTTTATCTCTTGGATGAAGTTATATGTCTATGATAGGAATGTGATTGCACTAACATAGAACTAATGGAGGACATTAATTTTTACCTTTAATTACGGATGTTTGTGAATGTTAATGACATTTAGTTTGAGACCCTATTGATTTGTGGATTGAAAGTGGTTCAGTTTACCTACTTAGAGATGTATTATGTGTGAATTTTCCATGAACATTGTTGTGATCTCAACAAACTCTAGAACACATTTGACAACCACTCAAGGCAAAATCCTAGAGTTCACATCACTTAAGAAATGATTTAGGCTGTTTTTGGACCAATTGAGCCTTTCAAGCCAACCTTTTTTATTGTCATCACTAGTTAACCCTTTTGAGCCTTTAAACACAATTTAGCCTTGTTTTTCTTTCTTTGAACTTAATGTTTACCCTACCCTAAATACGAGCCTAAAACACAATCTCACTCATTTTTCCTTAAGAGACTTAATTGTTGTTCAAGCTTAGCACGAGTGTTGGTGAGGAAGTGTAGTTTTGCCACAACCCAAGTTTATGCGAAGAAATTGGTTGGGGGTTGTGGAGTGCTTGCAAGATCAGTGGGGTTGTGTATATGTTTTATACTTTCTTTTTATCATTATTATCTTTAAAAAAAAAAATAAGAAAAAAAAGAGAAAAAGAAAAAGAAAAAGAAAAGAAAAGTAGGCGTTGAAAAACATTGTGAAGAGTGGAATTATGAATGGGTTTACATTATTGTCAAAAAGAAAAAGCTCGACAGAGGTTGGGAAACTACTGAGTGAAAAAGGGAAGTGTTGTGTATGTTAGTAATAAGATTGAATAAAAATTAAGTCTCTTAATTTTATTTTTGTTAATTTCCCTTTTCGTTCCTTCATGAACTCATACCCTAGCCTAACGTTACAATCTTTATAAAGACCTATTGATCCAAGCTAATGTGAAATTCTATATTAGTGGAGAGTGGTTTGAAAAGTGAGCCTATGGAGTTTGATTCCATGATTCACATATAAGTCATAACCTAAATACTGAGATCAAAATCTTGTTCATGAATTTTATGCATAAAACTATCCGAGTTTGTAGACTAATGGTTTGTGGTTGTATGGATGTTCTAGGTCAATAATGCAAATGAAATTGAATTTGCATTATCTGTGAGTTTAGATGATTTTTAATTATTCTATTTGTTTTGTGTATATGCGATTTTTGAGACACTTCTATGAATTGATCCAAGAATTTTTGTTAGTTTTTGTTCTTTTTTATGTTTATGTTTATCTTTGTTATTGGAGTTTAGGATAAGTGTAGTGTGGATGTTTGTGGGTATCATCATTGGAAACCCTCACGAGACTACAACTTGTCCAACTAGGGCCACCTAGGGGTTTAAAGGCTTGTTGCATACGCTAAATGCAATCGTGTCAATCTACGAAAGTGATTTAGTATAGTTTAGATATAGGTTTTCATTGGTTGTTTTAATTTCAAGCTTAGAGACTTATTTTATGATTTAGTTTGCTAGGGACTAGCAAAAAGCTGGTTGGGGTTGTGATAAGAGCTTGAAAGTATATATTTTGTTAGTGATTTAATTGGATTATTTGTGGAAAAATGTGTTTAAATTGTGGTATTTTAATAAATTTTTTCCTAAATACCTTTTACAGGATCACAGGTGTATTTTGAGTATTTTCAGGTTCAAACAGATATTTGAAGGGAAAAGAATGATGTCGATGGAATTCATGACGCGTAGGAACAAACGATACAAGAATCGGAGTTGAAACAAGGAAGTTGTGACGTGTCAAAGATATAACGTAAAATCTGTAAATCCTTCAAGATGAGCGTGCTTCGATGTTTCTGTCATAACTTGAGTTGTAGAAATTAAAATTTGATGATTCTTGTGGCGTTGGAAAGCTTATTTAGAGAGCTACAAAGTTTGTGTTGATTACTTTACCAAATCCCGAAGATCAGGGATGCCTTGGACAGAAAGAATGATAGTCACAATGACTATTCTCACCACCGCAGCGATGGGTCACGAGCTTGTTAAGTTAATGCATTATCTTAATCCGAATCTGTATGGGCTAAGGCATTTACTCTTTTACTAAGATATATCAAAACCCTAGGATATAAATAAGGGTCTTTAAGAAGTTTTTAGGGAGTTTTTGTGAGAGAAAGAGAAGAACGGCTACTAGTTTGGAGATCGGGATTCTTGAAGCTCTCGTTCACCGATTAGAGAAGTGTTTATATTTTTCTTTCTTGAACTCTTGTTGTTGAATAGAATGATGGTTTTTATTACTGTAACTATGAACTAAATTTCTTTTCTAGGGCTAAAGATGTAGCCCAATTTATAAATATGTGTTGACGTTATCTTTATTAATTTCTTATTGAGCATTAATTCTAAGTTTTATTATTGTGTGTAATGCTTTCAATTCTTAAGGATCCGAGGGTTGAATGATATCATGGGTTGGGTTGAGAATGAGAGATGAAACCTAATTTGTTTAAGGTAATAAAACCATAGATTGAACGAATGCTAGAGATAGGTTACCGATATCTATGAGGCTCTGGTAAATTCCATCAAACTTAATGATCTCTTAGCTTCTAAATCCAACTTAGAGATATTTTGGGTTGTTGTTTAAGGGTTGATTCACTAATTGTTTGAGAGAAAATTAGGGGAATATTAGGGAGTTTGGCCTTTAGAATAAGCTTAATTAGGATAGTAATAATCGTCAATACATAGGAATAAATTGGTGTGAAATCTGTGCCCTAGGGTTTAGCCATATTGATCTTTATACCATATCTTTTATAAAATTTTGATTTTTGATTTTTTAGTTTTTAATTTGTTTTCCTTTTCATTAAATTCATTCATAAAATTCTGTTTCATCAAATAGCAATAAAATAGACTAGTTTGGTACTTGGTAGGTAGTTCTCTTGGGATTCGACACTCGTTTACTCGAGTTTTACTACTTGCACGATTTCGTACACTTGCGAAAAGCTTGTCAACCGTCCACCGCGACCGTGACCACATTTGTTGCGGCCATGGGAACCACTGTGATTACGTCGGGTGAACGAACCTGAAGCTGTTGTGGATTCTGGGACGTGGCCATAGCCATGGCTGGAGCAAAAGTGGCAGAATGCTTCTTGATCAACAATTCCTCCTGAAGCAATAAGTCATACAAATCCTGAAAAGTGGTGGTAGGACGAAAATTTAATGAAGTAATAAACTCCTTATATTCAGGCCCTAAACCGTCCACCACGTAGTCAACAAATTCAGAACTGGGAAGAAGAGAACCTGCAGCAGCCAAAGAGTCAGAGATGGATTTTCTGAAAGTAGATAGTCGATCATGTGAGTGTCAGATTGCTTCTAAAGAGAACGAAGTTGATCCTGTAGACCACAAAGATAAATCTTCGAAAAAGGAGCTATGCGCGCTTGTCAAGAAGTGACCAAGCTTCAGCAACGGAATTACACGACAATAGCATGTTCTGAATTGAGGGAGAAACCGTGGCTCTTATCCAACTAAGCACAAGACAATCAGTTTTCAGCCACATACCATGAGCAGGATTCACAGTGCCATCTTCCAAAGGTGGAGGAGGAGCGGCAGCCGAGGCATCCACCATATGACTCAAATCATGGATAGTGAGAATATTAAAAAATTGTGATCGCCAGGCACGGTAATGAGGGCATTCCATCGGAACCAGAAAGTGACTGGCAATGTTGAAGGTAAGCGTGAGAGATGCTGTCAAGGTAGAAGACGCCTTGTTTGCAGGATCCTTGTTTGCCATGGTATTGTTGTAGATGAGAAGAAAAGAAAACAGAAAATCAGGGCAGGATTTTACTGCTTTGATACCATGAAGAATTACACAACTGAGAGAGAAAGTATAGCAAGAGTTTGGAGAATAATATGCGGCTTAACCCAGCCAGCCAATTCATTAACCTTATAAGTTGCACCAAAGAGAACCTTAGAAGAGTTTACATACAAGTTGAACACTAAAACATACATTACACACATATATAGTTATCCAATAGTCTCTACATAAACAAAATCCTGGCTCCACAATACATGATCTATGGACAACCAAAGTCATAATCAAGAACATAAATCAGTGCCAAGGAGAAGGGATAAAGGATGTAAGCAACTAAGGATGTCGAGGGGGGAAGGTGGTACGGAAACTGGTAAAACCACCCATCACAACGCAAACAATCAGAATAACCAGCATTTTCGATGACCACCCATCTTAATCTGATAGAATTTGAGGTGGGCCTGACTCCTCACCCAATAAGGCCTTGTTGAATGGGAGGATTACCCCCTCTTATAACCCAATAAGTTTGAGCGTGCCTAGTCGATGTGGGACTCCAACATAATCCTTTAATGCAGAGGACAGCTAAGAAAACTGATAGATGAATGACATTATTCACCGATACAGTCCTGTATAACTGAAGCAGAGAAACATCGAAATTGAGTGTTAATATAACTGCCTTATACAATAGTACGACGCGGTTAATTAACTTAGACCTATCAACTCAAATCACCAGCATTTGCTTCAAGGAAAATTGCATATGGAAATTAATAGACAAATGTTATAATTAAACAAACCTCATCATATGTTAATGAAGCGCTCTTCTTACTTTTACCGCTGGCATAAATGAGTATTGGTATCACATCACTTAACTTAGTGGCCAAAGGCAGTGCAACAAATGAGATGAAGAATGAAGGAATAGTTGTTGCATTTGAAAAGTTAATAACAATATCTTTAAGAGGATTAGCGAATGCAGTAGAAATAATGGTTCCAATCACCAGCATTGAATATGCTTCGAAGGAGGTCCACTTGGGGTTTTCAACAGCCTCAACAACCTCGTCAATTTGTTCATCAGCTTCCAACAAATCATGCTCACTCTTTTTTTGCTGCTTATTATTTGCAAGATGTCAAAACCTCATAGCAATAAGCAATCCTAGATAAAGATGCGAGTCATCATTGTGCAACTTACGTCGTGAAAGTCACTTAGAAGTTTTGCTGTCTGAGAACCAGGATCACCAGATCTATTTCCTCGATTTACTTCATTGAGCCATTTTGATATACCATCAAAGAATTTATCAAAATCAATTTGATTATCATGAGAATAATCAAATTCTTTCAGTAATTTTTCTGCAGCATCATCCAAATCCAAGTTTACCCCTTCAAACTTAATTCCTATGATCATTGCGCCTTCGTAGGCCAACCCGATGACCCGGGGTGTTATTTTTATTTTTTTTTCAAAACCCATTTTACCCTTGAAATATAGCTGTTTTATAGCAGTTGGAAGGGTCTTTTTGGTCATTTTCGTTTCTCAATTTTTTCTATAAATAGGGCCAAAACTCTCATATTTCCTCATATCCCAAATTCTCTCATTCTTTCATTTTTCTCTATTGAAATCTCTCAATCTCTTTGTTGTGAATTTGCTCTCATTTTAATTTTGATTATTTTTGCAATTTTCAAGTCATATTTCCAAATTTCAATTCTCCTTCTTTAATTCTTTATTTCTTTTATATCCATTTTTTTTTTTTTAACTAGAATAGATAGATATTTCCATCCCATCAATTTCAATGATGAAGAAAATTATCCTAGTTCCTTGAAATTACTAACGTAAATGCAGTAGATTCAAACAGTCCCGCTTTCCCATTCTTAGAATCTGATACACCTCATAATATTCCCCCCTTCCTCCCCATGCTGCTACAGCTCCCAGTGGTTTTAGAAGTCGTCCTCGTGATCATCATCCTCGTCCAACTCCATCTCAAGTAGAATCGAGTTCATCAACTGTAGTCGGAATCGACGACAGACACACATTAGACGTTTGTGTGCATTTCGAAAAGTTTTACGAGATAGAAAATGGAGTTCAAGGGAAGAAAACAAGATGCAAGTATTGTGGAAATATTTATAAAGCTGATGCAGGTAATGGTGCTAGTACTTTAAAAAAGTATGCTAATAAACATATGAATCAATATAGAAATAGAGAAACCAATCAAACTCAAATAACTAATATGAGTACTACTTGACATTATAATTCTGATGTATATATGGAACAATTAGCTTTATATATTGCTACAACTAATCAACCTAATAATATGGCTGAAGATAAATATTTTGAAAGATTTATTAAAAATTCATTTTTTCCAAGATTTAAAAGTTATTCTAAAACTACAACTAAAAATAATTTAATAAAATTGTTTGGGAAAATGAAATTAGAATTAAGAAATAAAATACATAGTTGTCATGTTAGTGTGGCTCTAATCACCGATATTTAGAGTGGTAGAGATAAATAAGATTATATTTGTGTGACTAGTCATTATTTTGATAATAAATGTAAATTAAATGAATCTTTGTTAGGATTTAGATTAATAGATGTAGATCATAGTAGTCAACAAATTTATACTAAAATTGTTGAAGTTTTAGAAGATTATAATATTGTTTACAAAGTGATAAGTTTAACTTTTAATAAAGCAAGTGCTAACAGTAAAGCTATAAATTTTTTTAAAAGTAATTTTCCTTTTTATGACAATTTGAAGTATTTTCACCAACGTTGTGCATGTTACATTATTAATTTAATTGTGAAAAGTGGTATGAAAAAAATTAGAAATTATATTGATAGAATTAAGGATTCTTTAGCTTGGATTAATTACTACTGGTAATAGAAGAAATGCTGAATTTTAAGATGCTTGTATAAAATCAAATATGTCTCCTAGAATTTTTGCATCAGACATGCCTGTTAGATGGAATAGTACTTATTTAATGCTTGATTCATGTTTACCTTATGCAAATTTAATTAGTTATTTTGTAGCAAATAATAGGGGTCCTCATTATTTGGTAGACAATGATTGACATATAACTCAAAAATTTTATTCTTATCTTAAAATTTTTTATCAATCCACTTTAAAACTTTTTGGTGTGTATTATCCTACTAGTCCATTCGTAATACATACAATTATAAAATTCAGATTTATTTAAAAAAAAAAAAAAAAAACAGAAACAATGAAATTTTAGAGACAATTGAATTAAAATTTAAAAATATTGGAAACCCATTCCTTTTCTTTTTTGTTTAGCTGCCATATCTGATCCTAGAATTAAATTAGTGGGTTTAGAAAATGGTTTAGACACGTTAAGTGAAAATTTACGAGACGAAGCATATGCCAATCAACTAGGAGAGATAAGATAGTGTCTTGCAAATGTATATTTGTAATATGAAAACAGGTATGGGAACCAATGAAGAGGCAAAATACCCAAGGAAGTAGTATTAGAAGACATAAACGAAGACTTCGACTCCTGGAGTGTACTTAATAGGCCGAAGAAGACCTGAACTTGAAGCATAGCCTCCTTTTCAGAAGCATCAACAATGAATATATTTTCCTCCATGCAACTACAGAGTAATGAGCTTCACCAATATTTGGGAACCCCTGAGGTGCTACTAGCAGATCCATAACAAAGAGCCAACTTTAATGTCTTAGAATATTGGAAAACAAGAAAATGTATTTTTTCTGTATTATCAAGACTTGCCCTGGTTGTTTTCTCTGTTCTTGTCTCGACTGTCTCATCCAAACAAACATTTATTGTAAGTGGAAGAATTTTAAATGACAGGAGGACTAAACTTTTACCAAAATTGATTGAAGTTCTCACATGTCTTCAAGATTGGGAACGATCGTGCCATTAGGATCAATACGAGGTTGTTGATGACACTTTAATAGAATCATTTTAATTTTGTAATTCAGATGATACAAATGAGGGAGGTCCTAGTCAATCTTTAAATTAGTTGTTTTGTAAACTGTAACTTTGTAATTTGTAAATTAACTGTCAATTATTGCATTCTTTTTTTCTTAACAAGTTTGTCCCAACTGGGTTTTTCTTGGAAAGACTTTTAACGAGGCAATAATTGTTGTAATTTTTTATTTTATTTTTTTATAAATGAATAAATATAATTTTTCTTATATTACAATTTAATTGCATTAAAATTGAATTAATATTTGAAATGTTAACAAAATAATAATAATAATAATAATTTAATTGAATTATTGATATTTGAAAAGTTAGGTAAAAAAAATTACACAAAATAAAAACATTTCGACCCGACTGGCATAAAAACCCGTTGGGTTTGGGTTAGCGGGCTGGGCTAGGCCAACCCTTCTGGCCAAAGAGGCGGGCCTAACCAGGTCAAGAATTGGCTTAACTTACCACAAGTCGGGCCAGGCGGGTTAATTTTCTACCTTTAGATTACCATTACATAATTTCTGTTAAACTAAACAATTCAAGGGCATAAAAGTAAAATAAACACAAAAATTATTAATTAAAATAAAATAAAAAACTAAAAAATATTAACCCCAAAGAAAATTTGCGTTATTTACCCACATACAGGGTTTTTTTTTTTTTTTTTTTTTAAAATATTCCCGATTAATCTGTCACTTAACTTCTTTGTCTTTACCTTTTTAATTACTAATTAATTCAATGACAAAATCACATCTTCTGCCCACCACCTAGCGAGGGACGTCTCAAGAACATTTATGACTCTAGGCAAGAGTTACTTTGGGGGCTTTCTAATAATATAAGCATATATTAAAAATATTATTTTAAATTTATTTTTCTTGCCTTTTGAGATACAAAATGACTAATTAAATTCTTGTATTCAAGTTTAGAAACCAAATCTTTTTCAATTGATAATATAGCCAAATTACTTAATCTTTTTTGTGACATTGTTGAACGCAAATAAGTATTTATTAACTTTAATTTGGAAAACTTATTTATGCTAAAGCTACAATAACATGAATAGTTAATAGTATTTTATAAGCTATCCATGCATTTGGAAAAGAATTCACATTTTTTTAGAAAATCTAGTATCTCAAGTGGTGTTTTAATTTCCACGTTTATAATTTCTTTTAAAACTTTTAATTCTGAATATAAATCTAAACCATCAATATTAGAGAGTATGTCATGTTTTAAAAAGTTTTCAAGATTTAAACCGTTTTTCTTCAAATTATCATCATCAAGCAATTTTAACTTTTCTATATTATAAAGAAAACCAAAATTATCACTATATATTTCAAATTGTTCAAATCTACTTTGAAGTGACGAAATGACATGATCAACTAAATATATGAAATACGTTATTCTAAAAGATTCTTCAGTAGACAACTTCATCTCTTCGTTTTCATTCTCATCAAATTGTTTTTTTCTCTCTTTATTATATGTTTTTTATGAAATTTTGGTTATATATTGATTTACTCTGCAATCTCTTTAGCAGAAATCATAGAAGATGTAAACCCATTTTCCCTAAATTTTTCAAAAAATGAAACAAGACCTTTCAACCAATCTATTGCAACAAAAATTTCCATATTTTTAGATTGTAAATATTTACTAACTATATTAACAGCAAATAACATTTCATACTAAATAATTGTGCCTAATAGAAATTCAAAATTTTCAATCTCATATGTTACTAAAGAAATAACTTCACTTTTTGTTTTAAGATCTTCACTATTTTCTGCTAATTGATATAAAACATCCCTTATTTGTTGAGTTTGAAATTTTATTACTTTAACACTTTAGCCTTTCATTGTTCAAAGAAATTCAACGTGTGGGATTGAATTGAAGGTGAGTAATTTGAGAAATATAAGTGACTATTTTAGCCTTTCATTGTTAAAAGAAATTCAAGGTGTTAATTTAAGGGTGTTAATTGGAATATATGAAACTAGAAGTACAAACTTGCTATTTCATCAAACTTTGCATAGGAATAATGTAAAAAGTTTTATAATAAATTTGGGCCTTTTTGGCTTTTTTTTAAGCCCCTTAGGCCAACCTGGATAAGAAATTCTATACTATTTTTATTTTTATAATATATTCAAAAAAAATTATAAAAAATTTGGGCCTTTTTCGACCCTATTTTTTGGGGGCCTTACACAGGTGCCTCACCTGCCTACCTCTTGGACCGGCCCTGCACCTAGCACACTGTGGCCGCCCCACCCCATCCACTGAACTATCCTTGTGATAGAATTTGAGTTGGGCCTGACTCCTCATCCAATAATGCCTTGTTGAATGGGAGGATTACCCATTTTATAACCCAGTAGTCTGAAGCGTGCCTAGTTGGTGTGAGACTCCAATACTCCCCCTCATGGTCAAGCCCATATGTTGAGTCATGCCTATTGATGGAGGTAGTTGCTAGCTCAAACTTTGAAATTTTTTATTTAGTTTTTGGGGGGAACTATTGTGGCAATAAGAGAGGTCAGCCACGTCAGTTAGTACTTGGGTTATATGGTTTTGGTTAGTGCACATAGCATTATTCAATTCTGGAATAGTTGTTTGGTATATTTTCAGAAAATATTTATTATGATTTTTTTAACTCCCCATATTTGTTAATTTAGCTAAACACCCCCATAATAAAAGTTTAAAAATTAATTAAAGCACTCAAGCCACTCAAGACAAAACAAATGGTTATAGACCACCACCATCAAATGGCAGCCGGTAGTTGTCAGAACGGTGCACGACAAGTTCGATCTGGCTGGTTTTGCACCAATATGGTCGTTTTCGACCAGATCTACGACTAGAGATTTAGTTGTTGATAGCCAAGTAGCCAAATGGATCTGGCTGTTTTTGGGCAGATCGGCACACGACTCACCAGGTCAGGCTAATTGTGCACCGTTCTAGCCACGTCAGCCGGCTGTGGTTGCTAGCAGGCAATGCTAGTCTTGGGTGGATTAATTTTCAGATTAGAAGAAGAGACAAATGAGAAGAAGAGAAAGAAAAGTAAATGTTTAGAGTTGAATAGAGTTGGATATATATATAGTGTTAGGACTTGTTGAAAGAAAGGAAATTGCTCAACGTCAGATCTCTGTAGGAATGTAATTACTTTCTGGCTCAAGCATCTTGCTTACTACTCTAGTATGGGGATCCTGTGTTGTGATTGGCAAGTGTGACATTGATAAGGGTTCAAAAACTAGAAATGGTTGTCAAAACAAGAAAGGATTTAGTTTGACCGGTATGTTGTTTTGACATTCTTAAAATTCTTTGAACATATATTCCATGGATGGATGATTTTTCTAATCCAAAAGGTTCTTTTAAATCGCAGAAATTGGTGTTAGTACTCATATTTGGACTTGCTATGCTGGAAGGGTTATGGTTATTTCAGTCATCCCATTTGTTATTGTTCAGCTAACGCGGATTCTCAATTTAACTTCAGAAAAACACTTAGCAATCTTGTTTGCACTAATTGCATCTATCTTGATATTTTTGCTTATTTTATTTATCAGGTAAATCATACACTATTCAGTAATAATATGCGTATTCCATTACTTTATCTAAATTACCCACTATTGAATATGTGATGACTCTTTTGTTTTTATTTGGTTATCTTAATAATAGACCATTAGAAAAGGCTAAACTAAACCTGCGATTTGAATCTTAAAAGCTCAAATAAATAAACCTGCTGTGATTTATATAAACAATAATGATTGGTTGACAAACCCTTCTTACTAACTTTCTCTCACAAACGCGACGTGGTAGCTCGCAATTGATCAGACAAGATCTATTGTTGGGCAAGTGGAACCCATTGCGAGTTGTCATGTCGCCTTTGTGAGAGAATTAATGTTAGTGGGAAAGGTTTGACAGCGTAGTATTACTCTTAGGGTGTGTTTCGTTGGGGGTAATAGGAGATTACTGAGGTAATGTCATCTTATATTTACTTGATTACCACGTTTAATTGTCGAGTAATATAAGATTTTGATAATCTTCCAAAACTAATAGTAGATACTGTTGGTAATATAGAAGGTAATTTGATTACCTCCATTTTCTTAGGTATTTTAAGATTACTTGATAATCTTATTTTTGTTCAATTTTACTCCTTATTAATAAAAATTTAGGACAATAAAGCCCTTGTTTTAAAAACAATTTACAAAAATACTAATTGACTATTTTACCCTTATATACAAAGTTTTAAGGACATAAATACCCCTATATTTTTTAAAAATTGTCTAAGGGTAGTGGTCGGATCTGGCCACCACTACCAATTGCCGCCGAAGTCGATGGAATGGTCGTGTGTCGTTAAGGTCGTTTCTGGCCTTTCATGGCCAAAGATGTGGCTGTGAAATGCTAGATATTTGGTTGTGAAATTATGGTCGTTTCACGGCCAAAGATTTGGACTTTCACAAGCAGATTTGTGGCCTTTTCACAGCCGCATCTTTGGTTGAGAAATGACTAACATTTCACGATCAAATCTCCACTGTCAATGTCGTCGGCAGTGATGATAGGCTGCTGACAGTGGCTTAGGGTGGGTGGGGTTGTTTTTGTTAAGTTTTAAATTATTTTTGTTGCTGGGGTGTTTTAGCTAAATCTAAAATGTAAGGGGTTAACAAAATTATTCAAAAAATATTATTATATTAATATTTAAAAAGGAAGGCAATTTAGTAATTTACATAACATACCTATCAATTTATTCCGACCAACCAAACACATTTCCCTAAACATTCCCGGTAATCTTCATTTATTTTGCAAGTCTATGTTTGGTTTGCAAGTAATAAAATATTACAGTAATCTTTTATTGCAAATAGTATTTACTGTTGATAATATGGGGGGTAATCTTATTACCTTGTTATGGGGTGTTATTAAAACATTACCGGGGTAATATGATTTTTCTTTCCATTTTGACCTTAATTAAAAACTATTTTGGACACAATTGCCCTCAAATGTCTCCCAAATAACAATTACTAACCCCTCTACATTTGAAAAATTGGCTAAAACACCCTAGTCGCAAAAAGATTTAAAAGTTAGCAAAATACCCCCAGCCACTCAAGACCACCGCCGACCATTGGCGTTAGTCATGGTAATGGCGCACGACCGATGGGATCTGGCTAATTGTGCGCAAGTTTGGCCTTTTCCGCCCAGTTCTAGAGTTTCTATGGCCGTTTCACGGCCACATCTTTGGTCGTGAAATGACCATAGATCTGGCCATGAAAAGGCCATGGATTTGTGATCCATGGCCATTTCTAGCTTTTTCAATGCACGGCTGGCCATATATGGCTAGTCATGTGCCATTCCGTTGACTGTTGGTGGCGGCCAGCGATGGTGGCTAGCTGCCGACAGTGACTTGGGGTGGGTGGGGGTGATTTTGCTACAAATTAAAATTTTATATGGTTGGGGTGTTTGAGCAAAATTTCAAATGTAAGGGGTTAAAAGAAATGATTAAAAAAATAATAATAAAAAATACTATTATATTAATATTTAAAAAGAAGGGCAATTTAGTAATCTATATAACATATCCACCCATTTATCATTCCAACCAAACATATTATTCACCAATTTATTCGAACCAATCACACATATGTTCTAAATATTCCTAATAATCTTTAAGGTGATATTTCTTTCTGTTAATGTAATATACCCTCATAATAAAACATTATATGATCCAAACACCCCCTTAAGGTAATCTATCTTTCCATTAATATAATATTCCCAGTAATGCAACATTCCTTGAACCAAACACACCCTTATATAAATTGGAGCTAGTATATTGTGATTGTGCATATGTAATTACATGTAAAATTCATAATATTAATTTGCTAGGAATAAAGCAATAAAGTAAATAATATATATAGTTACCTCTCACTCTTGATCAAGGACAAACGAGTTCCAAGGACAAACCAGTTATTTGGGCTAATTTGTGGGGGCTGCTTGCACTACAAGAATTTAAGCTTCTCACAGTAAAATAATTTGTCACTATAAATATCAAAATTGTGACTATTTCTTTAATGTGAGGAATTAAATTGGTCACTAGGTTGGTCACATTAAGTTTATACTCTTAAGTGTATGGTGACGAAAGAGCGTTTGGTCACCATAGCCTAATTATTTATTGTGACAATAATAATTTGTCACTTTAAACTAGTTTATTGTGATAAATTATTTGTAACAATAGAAGACAATTTTTATCACTATAAATAATATTTCGTCATAATTGATTTACATTTAAATACCAAATTATAAGCGTTATAGTGAGAAAATAATATATGATGACGAAATTGATTTTATCAAAAATTGTGAATAATGACTAATTTATCTTCTCATAGTTTTAATAGTAACCAAAATTTATTTGCCATTGATTTTATTGTGACAACATTTACTTTATCACATGTTTGTTTATATGATAATATTAT